ACAACTCTGAGCTATTCACGTTATTTTTTAAAGCTCTCATATAAAAAATTTTAAAAAAGTCAGAATATGAGCATACCTTTGTCTATGGAGAGTACTTCAGTCCAAACACCCTCTCTAGACCGAAAACTGGACGGCTTAAAAAAAAAAGAGAATGATGAGTGTTTAAGAAGTTAATTAAAATGAAGAAAACAAACGCACATAACACTGGTTGCAAATAAAGAGCTTTGAAGTCCTTCTTCATTACCACAGTCACATTATAACAAACACACATTATAGGAAATTAATTTTCACTTACAGGAGGAAATAACTGAAATGTTTCCATTTCTGTGTCTGGCCCTGTTTATAAAGAAGTGGTTATAGAGCTCATGTCAGCTGGAAATAGACCACGAAGACAATTTGATCTAATGTTGATTTAGCAGAAGCAGTTTAGTGCCTAACACTTAATATTCTATAGAGACCTCATAATTTGTCTTATGAGGTCTCTATCTAAAGTGCACTGTATTTAAATAATAATATCCATTTTTTAATATTTAGCTGTAGAGCAGGGAAGTTTTATGGTTAAAGAAAGAATTCATCTGAGAAAACATACCTTCTGACTTTTTAGGCCATTTCCAATCAAATCTCTCGAATATTCCTTTTTTAGGGTCAATTGGTTGATTGCCTGAGCTTGATTTCTGTGTGAAGTCCTCTGAAAAAGAATTATATTAAATATGTAATTATATTAGTTTGGTTAGTAAACTAAAAAATTTACTACACTGAAAAAAATGATAGAATTTTTTAAAGGTCAGGGGTCGCAAACAATTTATTTTAGCTACATTTAAAACAATTTTTTTTTTTAAAGTTAGTCAACTAAATTTGTTTATTTAAATTAAGCTAAAATAAATTGATTGCAACCACTTACCTTAAAAAAATTTAGTAAATTCAATGAATATTTTTTTTCAGTGTAGGCAATGGCATTTTTATTGCAAAGATGTCCATAGATGGTTGTGTATTTAACTTCACATACAGTATTTTCATGGGGAATCTTACTTTAAGAAATCTGTATTTCAATATTTGTGGTAAAATCAGCAGATGTTAAATCTTTCTGTGGATTGCTCTTGGACTATGACTTCTATACAGTGGTAGCACTAAAATAACTTCCAATGGTTAAACCTAAACCACTACATTCTTTCATTGAAAAAATAAATTCTACATGAAATCAAAACAGGTCCGATTTACTTTAATTAGCCTACACTATCGCAAGTTCCCTTGTCTTATTGTGAACAATAAATAGGTGCATATTTAGTTACAAACAAATAAATAAATGACCATCCAACCAGCCAAGAAAGACTGTAATGAGAATGAAAGAACAAAAACATTTTTATAAAATGGGAAGATTTACTAATTTATATTTAAGTGGAAATTATATTATGGACACCATACCGATGAGAGCACTCAAATTAAATTGAATAATTTTATTAAAATATTTTAAGGCTTAAAGGGGTCATATGATGCAATTTCAATTTTTCCTTTCTCTTTGGAGTGTTACAAGCTCTTGGTGCATAAAGAAGATCTGTAAAGTTGCAAAGACTAAAGTCTCAAATCCAAAAAGATATTCTTTATGAAAGTTAAGAGTCAACCACGCCTACCTAAAACGGCTCGTTCTAACACGCCCCCACATGTCTACGTCACGATGTGGGAAGATTTGCATAACGCCGCCCAAATGTTCACGCAAAGAAAGAAGGCGTAACTTTTATTCTCGCTGTAGTATTGTTGCTGCCGCCATGTTGTGGAGATGCCGTGTGTTTCGTTGTGAAAGGGAAACTACTTTGTTTGGTCTTCCAAAAGAGGACACGACTAGAAATCAGTGGTTAAGTTGCATTTACAACACTGTTCCAGAACGGTTCAACCCAAATATTCAGATGTGTGC